AACAGATATTTAACTCACGGGAAAATAATCAGACCATATATGCGACAATTTGAGTGATGGACAGCATTAAGTCAGAAATGAACTGTTGATAAACTTGAGAAACAAAAATTTATGAGAAAGGGATCCCATACCCAAAACTGAGCCCTTAACACGGCAAGAATTACTTTCCAAGACTGTTGGACCTTGACTTGAAACATGATTCGCAGATGGTTCATCATTGCTCCCTCAGATGGTTGTACTACAGACATAAATGGATAACCTAGAATTCCGCAAGCCACACAAGCCAATGTCTCCGAATCAACTTGTAAATCACATGTCAAATCGTCATCATTAGAATATAAATAGTTTATATTTTCCATGTAGAAGCTCATCTCATCTAAGAGATTCTTTTGATCAGATTTGTCTTCAATGTGAATGTCAGCAATATTTTCTTGCAGCATCATAGAATCTGTAGCAGTTCCACTGGGCAATTCGGAATCTTTGCTCGTATAACGAAGTAACAAAGGGTCCCACATTATTGCACGATAAGTCGATTCTCCTTTTAGAAGAAGAGATAACAATTTATTTTCGGTTAACAAATCTTCTATAAATGCCTTCTTTATTAACACCTCTCGTTCTTCCTTCAAGCGATCTCTCAGACGAGAACTGCAAGCACCAGGAAGCAAGGATCTTGGTATCCTGGAATGGAAACAAATTAAGTGAAACAGACTTGAGAAACGAGACAGCTCAATAGATATTATTACAACCAGATTCAGAAAAATAATGCAAAGAACTACAAAGATTTATGCTCATTAAGCTTGATATTAAAAAAAATGGCATAATTAGTGAGTTATGGATTAACTGCAGTTGATTAAAGGTAAAAAATAATGCCATAATTTTGGTTACAGATTGTTCTAAATACACAATTCATTTTGTGTCTAAAATTGTTATAAAAAAATAAAACAATTAAAAAAAACAAGATGGCATAATTGGTGAGTTATTAGGGATTAACTGCAGTTGATTAAACCGTATAAACAAAATCAATACCATAATTTTTCATACAGATTGTCCTGACAACTTAACACATAGGTTTCAAACACAAGTACTCAACTACTATAAAGAGTTGGAGCAACATAGCATATTGCTATACAGAGCCTTAAATTTATTAACTTTAAATTAGAAACAGAAACAGCTGCCTGTAGGCCCACTGTTTCAAATCTTGACATGATGTTTGCATCAGGTAGCCCTCATCCATTGAGCAAAGAAATATCAATAATATAGATCTTCATAGTGCCAGATTTCCGAACTAACAGATATGGCATAACTTCAGTCCATGCTTTGCTTAGATAAGTACAAACTGACCTTGACACAAAAGACATGGTCAAAAGCTATAACAGCTGCTGATGAGAAAGCATTGGAAGATGGTTCATAGCCGCTCTACGCACAGAAGCTTCTTTACCGACTTGAAGCCACTGTGGAGTTCGAAAGTTTGCAGCTTCCCCGCAATTAAAACCTGTTTAGTATAACAGTTGACCACGGCAAACGATGAGAATTAGAAAGAGATAACAAAATCCACAGTAAATGTATGCTCAATTTTTTTCACAGATTTCAATGTGTTTGGATGGTCCAGGGAGGATCATATCTCCATAAATATGTGTGGATATGCATTGGACATTGGGACTTCAAAAACAATGAAGAAGCGAAGCAACATAGTCTGAGACAATATTCAGATGTAGGTTTATGATGACCACACTAAAAAGGCCCTTCCGCTTTGTGGTGGTTTATGAAACATTGGTACACACAGATAACTTCTAGTTGGTCCTAATTCTAGTTCCATGGTAAAATCACATACATCATAAGGATCTTTTCACATATGAAGTCCACCATCAGAACTCATTTTAAATACCTTTAAACGTGATCATTAACGATAAATAGATAGCCTTTTAAAATGAGTCATTAATGAGATCATCATCAGCAAGACCTTGCTCACTAATGATAAATAGATAGCCTCATCCCCCACCCAACCTAGACCAAAATGCATTGACAATGAAATTCTTCCCCGTCCCCTCCCTTTTAGTTCTTGTCCAGAAGGAAGAAAATTTAGAAGGGAAAAAGAGAACTATTTTTCTCATAATTACTAGTCATTAATTTCCAAAACTGACAAAGGAAGTGAAACTTATCAATCCCATTTGGAGCCTCAAAATTTCCCAAATATAAACACATTTGTTACGCCATGCCTAGAATTTTCAGATAATTTACCCCTATTAGAACCTCTCTATCCATTCTTACAAGATGTTAAGCTAAAATGTGTGCCTATTAAAAGAAACAGTTTTCTTGAATAAGGCATGTTTATTTAATATTTGCACAGTTGATGAAATTCTCATAAAGGAGAAAATCAACTATAAAGAAATTACCATGGCTGAATCCTATGTGGTAGGCTCTCGGAAAAGTCACAACAAATTCACCAGGATTCTGTACTAACCTGAAGAAACAACATAATAAAGTAGAACTTCAAAATTTCAGAAGAAAACACCAAATCGCAGACTCTGCAGTACAAAGCAGCCCTCAAAAGTTTTCCAAGAATGGGATGTTAACATCCTCACATCTGCAAGTTCAATATCATTAGGGGATCAGGGGAGACTAAGGAAACAATTATTCTAACAAATAAAATCATCTTACCTACAACAAGGAATGCCAGATGTGACAATCAACTCAGGTGATAGAAGAGTTGTCTTCTCACCCAGTAATGACAGAGCAGCTGTCAATAAAGGATACTGAAACTGAGTTACAAGAAAGATATAAAAGTTGCAATAATCAATTACATCCGATAGATGTCAAACGTTCCTAATGTATGATGAAATGAAATCATGGCAACAAAATATCTACTATAATCCATAAACCATGAAATGAAATCATGCAATACATTCTTGAATCCCACCCGGATGTAATGCTCAACGACCTAATATAAGATGACAAAAAAGTGACATACCTAAGCAGTCGATGTTACCACCATAACCCTCGGTGCGGACAACTTCCTCAAAAGCAAATGCATGATCTCCAGGAACGGCATACCAAGTCTTTGAAGAGCCAGTATGAAGAAAATTCATGCTATGAAGCTCATGATCTTCAACATGCCATGCAAACCAGCTAAACAACATACCAATATAAACCATGGGAGAAGTAACACCAGGAATATCAGCAGGCATAAAACGTGTAGGTGAGCCAGCTGAGCGAGTAATCACTTGAAGATTCCAAGGACTATTTGATAGCTTCCAACCAGCGGTACCTTCAATATCATTGCCAGCATTTCCATTCTTTCTTTCAGAATGAGAACTTCCATCTAATGCCATGGTTGACAATGTAATTGATGAATTGGGTGTTTCTACACATTTATCTAAGTCACTTTTAGTAGAAGTATTTTTAATCTCATCCCTGTGTGAATTATTTACAGTATCGATCTCGTCTTTCTTGAATTCAGAGTTTTCCCTCCTATGTGACATCCTCTTCCTCCTCCTCCTCCTCATATGAAAATACTGAAATTGATCGTCTGGTTCCCCAAAACCTGATCCAGGGACATCATTAGCATATTCCACATATATAGACTTCTCTGAAGCCAACTTCCAAAATAACCCCTCGATATGCAACGGTGATACCTCCTTAAGCACACCCAGTAAACTCTTTGCCAATGTCTTAGACTTGGATTCAAATTGCTCTAACGTATAAATCGCCCCACTTTGCCACACTTGCTTCTGAGCACCACAAAGTGGACTATTAGCAACCCCTTTCATTCTCTTCCCACTCTGTCCTAGCTTCTGATGTCGAGTCGTAAACACCGCCCTTCTTTCCCCTTCATCACCACCACTATCGCCAAAACTCGAAACAGAATCAACATTCACATCACTTCCTAATTCCGGACAATTGGATAGCGACCTATTCAAATTGTTAAAAACGTACTTTTTCGACAGTTTTGGAAATGGTGGGATAATCTTACATATACCATAAGAACCAGCTTCTTTCTCAATCTTTGATATATATGCAATGGGGTCAGCAAACTCCGTATCAGTCGGCCGGAATTCAGGTGCCAATGGCAACCGTTTAAGCCACTTTGGTATTTCAACATTTTCCATTTACAACAAAGATTCTAAACAACGAAGAACACAACATAAACCAATCAAATCATTAACCCTTAACGAACATTGCTCATGAGTTTTTCAAAGTGAGGCATGAAAATTAATAAAAACCCAATTCTCTAAATCACTAGATTCCATTGTTCTAACACGTTTCCAAACATGGATTTCTCTTGTTTCTTGGTTTTCTTCAATCGAAACTAAATAAAACCCCAAAGTTCTAGGGCGAAGATTCCAAATTCATTGCTTTAAAAATCTATCAAATAAATTGGGGGAAATAAAATAAAAAAGAATTGAAACCTGTAGAACCACCTGAAGCCGCTTGAAAATCTTGACAATAGTCTTCACAAAGCGGGAAACAACAGGGAGAGGAAGCTAGGTTTTGATCAAGCCAGATGGTGCAAGTTAGCAGGGGACGCTGGAAAATGGCTAACGCGCAGGGGGATGATGATGCACTTGTGTGGATCGTACGATATTCGGTGAGATGATGAGGTAAGATTGGATGTATTATATTGGGCCACTTACATTAATATATATATATATATAAAAGAAAATGATGAAAATAACATCTACGGTGTTAGAAATGGATTTGGACATTAATCCTGATTCTGTTGTTCAGCACTTTCGACATGCTTTGTGACAGGATTAACGAGGTATCGAAGCTCGGAGCAGTCCGAAGCCATTGGCCTTTGAAACCATAATTCAAGCTCTGTTTTGGACTCGCGGAAATATTCGAATACAAACACCATTGTTGTAATAGTCAATAAGACTCGGAAAATAGAGTAAGTATGAAGCAGCTGATGACAGTGGATCCCTTACAAGCCCCATGGAAAGATGTATATTACAGTAACAAGGCCCAATGGAGTTGACCCAACCAACCATTTCTTATTTCTACTTTCTTGGTCCTAGAAGACCTTGCCCCAAAATCGAAGCCAGTGTTTAACTCTCTCGTCCCGTCAACTACAATGGAGGCTCCGATCAGGGCTGCACAATTCCTGGGGTTCACTGTCTTCTTTCTTCTATTTTGCGTCTGCAGATCCTCTCCTTTACATAATCTCTTGATCTCCAACGCCGAGCGTAGAGTAAGCATCAAACCTCTCTCTCTCTCTCTCTCTCATTTCTATCTTTCCACTTTTTAATCTTGGATTTATTCCAAATTGTCAAAATTATGATGTGCGGTTAAAAAATTTATTTAAAGAACTCATTTTAGGTAAGGAATTATATATGGATTTATATTTTAAATGCTCCAATCATTAAAGAAAATGTAAGATGTTCGATCATAATACTCTTTACTTTGTTCTGGTTAATTTGGTTTCTTTTTCTTCTTCTTTTTTCTGGCTAATTTGGCTTCTTTTGTTAAATTGTGATATACACTTCAAAAGTTTTTTTATTTAGAAAAAAGAACTGATTTTAGATAAGATGATATATGAGTTTTGGATCATAAAAGCTCCAATTGTTAAAAACAAATATTGCAAGATACTTTTTTTTATAAGAATTGCAAGCCTCTTTAAAAATCCTCATCTTGATTAAAGGAAGCTCCCTAATCAGTGGAAGGCCTTAAAATTTTATTCATAACTGAAATTACATAAGAAACAGCCATACAAACACTCCCTCAAAAACAAAAAAACATAAAACACCCCCAAACCACCAAAAACACCAACACTGGCTTTGGGTAAAACCAATTTAGAGACTGCAACAGCCTCCGATTGGTTTACCCTTTACAATAATATTACAAAGAATCAACCACCACAAAGCCTATCAAAAAAGCACAAGACATGCAAGAATTCTGTTACAATTAACCAATCCCCTGCTTAGCTAGCTGTCAGCCTCCAAATTACAGCCCCTAGGAATCCATCTAAGGACGACCCCCTTGGCCTTAATAATGGCTTCAATTTCCTCCACCAGATCACTAAAAAAAGAAGGGGCAGATTGCAGATTTAAAATCCAGTCCACTGCACATTTGCAGTCGCTCTCAATAATAAGTCTTCCCTTGTTGGCCCAATTTGAGGAATAGAAAAAATTCAAACCTTCCTTGATAGCTTTCAGTTCAGTCAAACTAGGCAAACCAGGCCCTACTGCAGAAGAGAAGGAAGCTAGAGACCCGCTGGAAGAGTCTCTCAAAACACCACCAATACCCCCTTGTATTCCATCTCCAGTCACTGCTCCATCAACATTGAGTTTAAACATATCTGCTGGAGGAGGAGACCAACCAATAACCTTCTTAGGACCAGTAGAAATGAGAAAAGAATATGCCCTCGTAGGATCCCCTACTAAAAGGTCTGTCTGAATCCTAACCGACGGATGTTTTGCTAAAAACCATTTCGCCAACCTAAATCTAGAGATAAAATACAGAACTGAACTATCACATTTTCCATTTTCAAAGACAACTAGATTTCTTACTTTCCAAATTGACCAGAAAATAACAGCCGGAACGAACCTCCAAATAATGGAATTATGCCTAAGATTGGACCATGAGCAGAGAAAGGAGGAAGGATCTTGATGTAGAGCAGTAGAAATATCCCATAACCTTAAAAATTGACTCCACAAACCCGAAGCAGCAGAACACGTGAGGAACAGATGGGATATAGTTTCATCCTGGGAATTACATAGTGGACACAGTACATCCGTTAGAGGGATCCCTCTTTTCTTCAATTCCACTCTAACTGCTAGTTTCTGATGGCAAATCTGCCATAAGAATGTTTGAACTCTAGGCGGAGCCAAACCATCCCAAACCCACTTCTTCCACTCAAAACTCCCTTCAGAACTATCATACAAAGACAGTCTACAAACTTTGACCGAGAACATGCCATCCCCCTTACCCGACCACCCTAGGAAATCATCGACAGAACATGACAGCTTAATCTTGTCAACCAACAACATTAGATCGATCCACTGGTCTAATTCCCAATCACACAAATTCCTTCTAAGTTGAATATTCCAAACCCAAACATTATCTACATATCCACCAAACTCAGAGACCTTCCCCCGTTTATTTGTAGACAAAGCAAAAATTCTAGGAAATTGATGAGATAAAGGCAGATTAGTGATCCAAACATCAGTCCAGAATGCAATCGACTGACCATTTCCCACTTGTATTTTTGAATTGTCTCTCAAACAGTCACCAATCTGATCATTCTTCGAAAAGTTATTAAGGATGCCTCTCCAAATCCAAGAATCAAAAGGAGAAGCTGCATCTAAAATAGTAAGGGACAGAACATCAACATTGTTTTTGCAGCAGATCACCTCCTTCCACAAACTTCTTTTTTCATTTGCAAATTTCCAAATCCATTTCCCAAGAAGGACTCTATTCATCACCCTTAAATCAAGTATTCCTAAGCCACCTTCTTCAATAGGTTGGCAAACTAACTTCCAACTCACCCAATGCATTCGTTTCTTATCAAGGTCTTCACCCCAAAGGAAGTTTGCCATCAGAGAATTCAACTTCTTAGTCACTTTGATGAGAATCTTGAAAATAGATAGAAAAAATATTGGCAAGGATGATAACACAGATTTAACTAGAACAATTCTACCCGCCAATGACAATGTTTTTGCTTTCCAACCTGCTAGTCTTCTATTAAAATTCTGGAAAACTGGATCCCACATACTCTCTGAATTCTTCCTAGTGCCAATCGGTAGACCAAGATAAGCCATAGGAAAAGACCCCACTCCACAGTTCACTTTCGTAGCCCACTCTTTAACCATGTCAACATCCATATTAACTCCATATAACGAACTCTTAGACAAATTTAAATGTAACCCAGACATAACCCCAAAAATCCTCAATACTCTTCTAATATTTAAAATCTGCATTGGAGAATCTCTGCAAAAAAGGATTAAATCATCTGCGAATTGTAAATGTGTCAAATTAAAAGAGTTGCCAACTCTACCAATGCTGAACCCTTGAAAGAGACCTAAATCGGCAGCCTTAATCAGCATAAGATGTAACATTTCCCCCACTAAATTGAACAGGAGAGGTGATAGACTGCATCCTTGTCTCAACCCTTTATTAATGCGAAATTCATCAGTAGGACAGCCATTAACTAACACCGAGATAGAGGCTGAAGAAACACAACATTTAATCCATGAGATCCATTTTTCCCAAAACCCATAGCCTTCAAAATTCTAAATAGTAAAGGCCACTCAACCGAATCATATGCCCTACTAAAATCAGCTTTGAAAACAACACCTTTTCTCCCTAGCTTTCTCCAATAGTCAATGCCTTCATTTGCCAAAAGCGCACAATCAATCAATTGTCTACCCGGAATAAAAGCGAATTGTGAGGGGCTTACCAAGCTATTGACAACAGAGACAAGCCTTTTCGATAGCACCTTAGAAATGATCTTATAAAGGCTGCCAACTAGACTAATGGGCCTGAAATCTTCAATTCCCTCAGGATTCGCTTTCTTAGGGATTAAAGTAATAAAGGAATGATTCACTCCCTTTTCCCATTCTTTGCCTCTATGAAAATCTTGGACAAATTGCATGATATGCTCCTTCAAAATGGACCAGAATTTTTTAAAAAAACCCATAGAAAACCCATCCGGACCAGGTGCCTTAGCACTATCCGAATGAAAGACAGCTTCCCACACTTCTTGTTCAGAAAAGTCCACCTCTAAACCAGCCTTATGTTCCTCTGTCAATTTGTTAAAATTCAAATTACAGTCATCCACTTCCAGAGCTGCATTCGAGTTGTAATTGGCTTTAAAAAAACTCAGAAATAGCTGATCTAATCTGATTAGGATTAACAATATCTACCCCATCCACTTTCAAAGATGAAATGGCATTCACTCGACTCCTATTAAGAGCACATAAATGATAAAATCTGGTATTTCTGTCCCCATCCTTGATCCATTTAAGTCTTGATTTTTGAAACCAAATGCTCTCATCCTTCCTATGCAAACCCCACAATTCATTCCTCCACGTCAATAGTTGACCCTAATCTTGTGCCGAAACCCCCCCTGACACCTCAATTCCAACTCATTTATCCTATTCTCCAAATTTGAAATCTGTTCGGAAAACCCCGTATTATTACTATTGGGCCACTTTTTAATCACTTTCTTAGTTCCTTGAAGAATACTCAACATACCCCTACGAGCATTTTCCCTCTTTAAATCATACACAGCATTCTTAACCACCCCATCAAACCCATCCTCCTCTAGTAAATAATTAAAAAACCGGAAAGGTTTATGACCCCAGTTTTTTAAATCGTCCTCAAGTACTATAGGGTTATGATCAGAAATAGATTTCGGCAACAGTTTCTGAATAACTTTTGGAAATACCTGAAAAAAAGCACCACTTAATAGAAACCGATCTAATCTAATCCACGTGGAAGCTTCTCTATTATTGCACCATGTAAATCTCCCTCCAACTAGTGGTAGATCCATAAGATTTAAATTTAAGACAAAGTTAGAGAATAAGTCCACCGAATGCCAATTTTGAGCCATTCCAATTTTCTCCTCGGGATCTAGATAAGCATTGAAGTCCCCCCCTATGCATACAGGCAAATCAAGATTCTGCAAAAAACTCATCAATTCTCCAGAGAAATCCTCTTTTTCAGCCTCAACCGACAGACCATACACATTCACAACAACACATTCAAAGTTAACCAACTTAAACTTTCCTGTTAACGCAATAAATCTATTACGTTTAAGTTCCCTACTAACTTCAAACAAATTTTCATCCCACAAGCATATTAACCCTCCTGCCGAACCAGTAGCTGGCTGAAAGCTAATTCATTTCAAGCAATTACCCCCCAACCTCCTCAGTAAACCCTTTCGACATTTATTCAGTTTAGATTCTTGAATAAACATAATAACAGGTTTGTGTTTTGATACTAATCTTGCAACTGCTCTTACTTTTTCCATCTTTCCAAGCCCCCTAACATTCCATGAAATCAATCTGATTTGTGACATAATTCTCAAAATCTGCAAAACCTGACCATCCCGAAAACAGCAACTCAAGAACTCCTAATAGGACCATTCAGCTCCATCTTCATGATCTCCTCTTCCAATACATGATTGCCCCCTTTGAAAGAGATCCCCAACATATCACAGACTTCCCTAGTAACAGCAGCTTCCAATCTTGCATCCATATATTTGTTTGGTGACTCAGAAGTAGCACTGTTTTGATCCAGAGGAACCCTGACCCTACCTCTATCTACCCTTTCATACACTCGCTCATGGAAACTAATGGGAGCTTCACCCTCCGAACCATCACTGCCAGACCATGTAGGAACAATCCTAAATTTCCTGTGCTTTAGAAAGCCTCTTCTTAAACCAAGAGAGAGAGACTCTTTATTTGTTTCCCTCCCCTGGTAATCACCCAATAGCACTGGCGATCCTTCCCTTTCTCTACCATGTCATCCTTTGAAAACTGAGTCTGAATTCTGATATTGGATCCTTCAACTCTTAAATTTGAATTAGAATCTGGCAAAGCTCTAGCCAAATCCTGCAGACTTGATTCCACCATCATATTTTGCTTTAAAGCTTCCTGATCCTCCATCCAAGCTTCCTTTTGTTTGCCATAACCCACTCTAATTAAATTAACTTCTGGCCCAGCTGTTGAGAATCTGATGGGCTCACTCAAGTCCTCTAAATGGGCTTTATTACTTTCGTTAGAAAAAATACTTCTGTTCCCCATACCCTGAAAGTTCCCTCTAAAATTCAAACTCACTTCTGGATTTTCTGACACCTTTGCTCCACTAGTTTGACCTTCTCCATCCTTCCACATTAAAACCTGACCTCCTTTGCCGACTGCCACAGCTGTACCAACATCTCCTTCCAACCACCTGTCTACACTGTCCCTAGTATCGCCAGCTATTAAGATTTTTCTCCCAACCCCGTCTGAGCACCGACCTTCTTCCTCCTCCGAAAGATTATCGCCTTTGGATACTCCCTTTCCGGCCACCGTTGATTTTCCTACTGAAAAACTTTCCTGTTTTATATAGACCGACCCCACAGTAATTTTAACCTTAAAAGATCTCCCATACGAACCCAAAATAACAGAATCCTGAATATCAAAAGGACTGGCCACCCTCAACAAAGCCCTTGCCACCGCCATGTCCTTTCTTCTTGCCGTTGATTCATGTAAACAGACAAACTTCCCCCACCTTGAAACAAGCTTTTCCAGAAATGAAACATTCCAACATAATAATGGAATTCCAACAAGGTCAACCGAACCAAATGCCATCGGAATACCTTCATCATTCAAAAGCTGGTCAATCCAGTCAAACCAAAAGGACAATTTCTCCAGTCTGCTCGACCACGCTTCCTTAAATTCTTCCACCGAGTCAAAGGTTAGGATACACGAGTTCCATGTAAATCCCCACTTAGCTCCCTTAACCTTAAACCCGTCACTAGCCAGCCCCTTCAGTACTAGTTCCAGATCAAACTGGGTTTTAATAATCCCAGTCAATGATCTTTTCACCCAGTCCCATTCATCTGAGGGTAAATGCATCTCCCACAGATTTCTCATTCCAACATCCTTACTAAGGTGCCCCTCCTTTCTATTTTTACTCGCCGTATCTTCCCTCAACCCATTAGAAGAGGCTAATGCTTCCTTATATGATCTATCATCCCTCATACGGTTGAAAGACTCTGATCCAACACTTCTTTTCCATTTCGCTCTCTTCAATACCTTATCATCATCTTTTTTGGGATTTCTGCTTACAAAATGCCTATATCTCTGCCTCCGATATCTAGCTGCACCTACCGAAACTTTCTTCCCATCTATTGAGATACCATTGACATTCGCTATCGCCTTCTTCATTCCTTCCTCCTTCGCAAACTGAACGAACGCAAACGTATGGTCTCTATAATTTGGCTTGTTATAATTATTCTGGATGTAAACTCGCATAACACTACCTTGCTGACGAAAAATATCCCTTAATGTTCTCCAAGTGACTCTTGCTAAGATTGTCTACAAACACTGTCCAATCCTCACCAGAGGACTGTCCCCCTAAGACATTATCTCTCAAAGCCATTGATGATTCAGAAGAAGAAAATAAAAATAAAAAACAAAGACGCTTAAATTTTTTAATATTGCAAGATACTTGATTTGATATTTTTATTTCATTTTTTTATTTGGCTTCTTTTGAGCTTATTTATTTATATATTTTCTAAATATTGTTTTTGGTTGATGCAGATTGACTTGACCTCCCACATTGTCAAAGTTTACTTGACTTTGAAGGTAATTTCTCTCCAAATACTACAAGTTTATTTAATTTAATTAATATATATATATATTTATTTATATGTATGTGTATGCATATATCATATATGAATTATTTTCTAAATCGTTTTAGTATAGAGGGGTCGAGGTTTTATATTTCAGTTTTGAATTGGGTGCCTAAAATTTTCCTGTGAATGTAAGTTTCTGCTAGTTTTTCCTATATCGGGTACTCGTTTTTTAATGCTTTTATCATTTTATTTTGTGCTTGCCATTTTTTGTGTCTGTGTCTGTGTTCTAATACATATATTTTTTGAAGAATTAACATTTTGGAAAAAGAAATTTAAACTATTTTTAATAGGGAAATGCATAATTTACTCGTTTTATGAAGCAATTATGTTTCGGTGAACTATTTTTTAGGTAATTATGTGCTTTTTTAATCAAAAAGGATTTTTCCTTTTAGCAACTTCTGATGTAGTAGATTTTATATAGCAAAACAATCGTAACTTAACAATGGAGTCTATAATTTCTTACTGGTATATACAGTTGAACTAATTCGAGGCATGTTTTAAGTATTAACATCAATGGTATGAGTAATATATTATTAATATATAGTATTCTAAGATTTTCATGTCCTTTACTATGAATAATTGTATATAAATATATGTGCATTTGTATCTCTTTTAGGTCGAGAATGCCGGTAGTACGCCAACTTCAGAAATTCTTCTTGCTTTCCCACCCACTCAAGTTGATCATCTAGCAACAGTTGAAGTATTAGTAACTAAAGGGAAGAGAAAGAAGACTACTTTAGTCCGTCTTGATGTTAAACCGACTGAACTGCCTGATGCACCTAATGGCACTAAATATTTTACTATTTATTTGGCTAATCCCTTAAATTCCGGTGAAAGTATGACACTAGAAGTGTTGTACTTGTTTACACACTCCCTAGAACCTTTTCCAGCAGAGATAGGCCAATCAGAATCTCAATTAGTATATTATCGTGATAGTGCGTTAATATTGTCGCCATATCATATTAAGCAACAAGCAACTTTCGTTAAGACACCAAGTACTAAGGTGGAATCGTTCACAAGGGTGGAACCCACGAACCGTGCAGGCACTGAAATGAAGTATGGGCCATATGAGGATCGTCCACCATACTCTTTTTCTCCTATTCTTATACATTTTGAGAATAATAGCCCATTTCCCGTGGTTGAGGAGCTTGTTCGTGAAGTTGAGATATCTCATTGGGGCAACCTTCAGGTCACAGAGCAATACACATTGGTTCATGGTGGTGCTCGGCACAAAGGTGTATTTTCAAGGTAGAGTAGATACTGCCTACCTGGATTCAGCTTGAAAGATCGAGAAATGCACATTTTTATGATTGATTTTATAGTCACTTTCTGGTGCATACTATTTTCAGGGTTGAGTACCAATCCAGGCCAACTTTGAGTGGTACGTCCTCATTGCGATACCTTCTGGCAAGACTACCTCCTAGGGTTCATTCTGTCTACTACCGGGATGAAATAGGAAACATCTCATCATCACACCTGCGTACGGATTCCCGTAAGGTATTCAAATGTGTTTCTCTTCCATTCTGTCTCTCCTTCGCTCCCTTGCAGCATTTTTTTAACTACCACATTATTTACCTAGTCAGCTTTGTAATTGTCGTGATTTATGAGTTATTCCTAAAAACAAATATCCCAGTTTCCTGGTTGTCTGACCATGTAGACATTTAAAACCCTTGTATTTATAATTCTCCTTGATGGCATGTAAGATTCTATTTGAAATTACTCAGGAAAGTGTTTTTTGGAACGATGGGTTTTATTCCACTTCCACATTAATTCCTAGTACAATAGTATGCATTTATAATGGAAACTGGAAAAAGGTCACTTGCATCTTGCTTTTTAAAAGCAAGTTTTGATTTTTCTGGCTTAGTTATATTTTGTTACTATTGTACAACAAGGTTTTCCCAGTCTTTTAATCATGCATTTATTTCTTACTGCATCATTTTCCATGTTCCAATTAAGCAAAAGTCAGCATAATATTAAAGGTTTTTTTTAATCTTCTTATATTGTTCTATTGCTGCTGTTTTCTCTTCGGTATGTTGATTGTCGACTAAGATTGTTCTCTTACAGTCTGAACTGGAAATTGAACCACGGTATCCTTTATTTGGAGGTTGGAAAACAACTTTTGTCATCGGTTATGGCCTACCATTACAAGACTTCCTTTTTGAGTCATCTGATGACAGACGTTACCTCAACTTTACCTTTGGATGCCCTCTTCTTGAGACTGTGGTTGACAAGTTAACCGTCAAAGTAGGCTCTTAGTTGTTTTTTCATTTGTCCAAAATTGAAAATATGAATTTACTATGATGGGAACTAATATGCTATGCTTCAGGTTGTGTTACCTGAGGGATCAAAAGACCCATCGGCTGTAGTTGCCTTTCCTGTGGAGCAGCATCTTGAGGTAATTATTCCCAATTCAATGATCTCTTTTGAGTTTTCAAATCGGATGCACAATGCATGCATGGATGTATATATGTTATGGTCAAGACTTTGTCTTCTGTCATATGTGTCAAACCGAGATGTGTTCCATTTGAATCTTGCAGACCAAATATTCTTACCTTGATGTTGTGGGAAGGACTGTGGTGGTCATGGAAAAGAAGAATCTTGTTCCCTCGCACAACTCTCATTTCCAGGTAATTTATCACCTCTTCCATTTGCATTATACGTTTTTTAATTGGTATGAATTTTGTTGTTGTCCATGATGAATCCATCTCCTCGTGATATTTCAATTTGCTGCTTAGATCACCGTGGTAACTGAAACCTTAAAACGATGAAAGATTGAAACACATAAGTACTGTTCTGGAGGCTTGTTCGAATGAATCTAGGTAGTCTTTGTATTACAGTCAAGTTCAATTTTGTCCTTGTAGTATAAAACTAGGTAGTATCAAAATGATGGTATAGACTTCTTGTTTGTAGGTTCGGCGCCAATATCAGATTTACAAATTAAATTACTCAATTCTATATCACAAAGATTAAATCGCAATTTCGACTATAACAGAGACACTGCCTCGATCTTTTAGCCTCAAAAAGCATGCCCGTTAATGTTAGCAGAACTGGATTCTCTTCACTGTCGTGTTTTTTTGTGGACCCCTCTTTGTAGGTTCACTACACCTTCAAGCCAATCTTCATGCTTGCAGAGCCTCTGATGCTGGCGTCTGCGTTCTTCTTGTTTTTCGTGGCTTGTGTAGCTTACCTGCACATTGATCTTTCCATCCGTAAGTGAAACACAGCGGTTCACTATCGGAAAATTAGAAAATAGTTCTAAATCGTAACTCTTTAGATTGCAGTGATGCCAGATTCCCTCAGGTGAGAGAATACACCAACTCTAGGATTAGGGCGTTGTCTTGTGTGCTAAAATTACAAAACCTGAGAATTTTTTTGGGACGAATAATAGTTTCCTATTATAATAATTCGTTTTTACAATGCAATTGTTTCAAGTTTTGGGCGAATATCAGATATGGGTTTTGCAAAGATCATTCATCAGTACCTATATCCAAAGCCTCCCGCCAATCTGATTCTAATGGTGATCGTAAATGGTCTAAGTTTTCATCTGCCCATAGTATTTTTTAATCTAATATTCTTTTTTCAATAGATTATTTTTTTAATATTTTAAATGATTTCTTAATTTTTTGGAAAAAAAATACTAAATAAGGTTAAGACATTTTAAAAAATTAATTAAACTAACAAACTTTCAAAAAGAATCAATTAAGTTTATCTATTACATCATTTATACATGATCATAATGTTAACATTTTAAAACGTTATTTAGGCACAGTTACTATTGGAGGCAGTTTCTGTTGGTCAAAAGACTAAATTAATTAATTTTAGGGTAAAGTATATAAATAGTCCCTGATTATAGAGTGTTATTTTGTTTAGTCTATCGATTATTAAAAGTTATAAAGAGGTCACTTGGTTATTCTTATGTTTTAAACTCATCATTTTTTGCTAAAAAAATTGACGATAGTTTGAGCTAGACGTTAACTTACTGATTGTAATGTGATAAAATGTAATCTCAAAATATTAAATGATTATCATATCTTAGTCAATAAACTAACATTCATCCCAGACTGTCATTAATTTTTTAACGAAAAATAATGAGTTTGTAATATATGAATAGTCATATGATCATTTTATAACTTGTAATAATCGAGGGATTTAACAAAGCAAAGTTATACAGTTGGGGATTATTTTATAACTTTTTTATTAATTGGTGACTCAATAAACACTCTATAATCATGGGACCATATGCGTACGTTACCCTTAATTTTATGAGTTTAAAGAATTAAATATATTTTAAAAGTTTTCAAGGGGTCGATAACTCTTTTTCAAAAGTTCAAGGGCCTTATAAATCATTAAACCTTAATAAATCAACCAACTTAGACAGTTGACATAACTTTTACTCTTGCATTAACGGCTACTTTAGTAATTTAACACGTGGAGACCATGAAATCATGTTCTGTTTACAAAATTTAGAAGATAAAAGAAAAAGGAAAGGGTTCACTGTGAACTTAAAAAGCACGATGGTTTCCCGTTAATTTGATTCTTTGATTCCCTTAGTTGGGATCAGAAAATAACTTTTCCCCTTAAAATCTCAATTAAAATCCAAAAAGAAAAAAAAAAGTCATCATCATGCGATAGATTTTTATCATTAAGGTTGAGGAATACTTGTTCGAGTTAGACAAATTAAAGATTAAAGATATAACAATAAAATTATGACTACAATACAATTTAATTTAATTGGTCGAATACCTATTAACACTTTAATGAAAATCAAAATTTTAGTCACCAACAATCTTATTTGGTCTATAACACAACAAATTAATATAAATGAACCAATTGCATGAATCAACTTTCCACATAAAATAACAGCTTATTTAGGCAAAAAGATTAAGAATTTATTTACAGGTAAAAGTATAAGATGTTTATTTTTAATATTTTAATTTATAAAGGTTATTAAAAAATAAAATCTAAGATACTGGTATATATAAAAAACTTACAAATTTCAACGGTAGAAAACTCAGAGAACTAACGGAAAACCCGTTACGAAGACGGTGTTTTCACGAGAGAGACAGTTAGAATCCCACACCGACACGTTAAAATTATCGCCTTAATTATCGTGCATGAATTTCCGGGTAAATCATGATTGTTTCCCTGTTTTTCTTTTTGGACTTTCTGTATCCGGTTACACAACCGAGTACCGATCTCTATGACCTGCTACATCCAGTCACTCTGTCGGTGCTTGAAGTGTCGGCACCGACACGCCAGATTTATTGCCGGTAAATTTAATGGTTTTTTTTTTGAAGACTAATAAAAGAATTGATTGGAGGGGGTTCATTAGATGTTTTGTGGTGCATGGTGGGGACCGTGGAATTTGGAAAGAGTTTATTGGTTGAATGGAAGTGAGATCCACGTGGAGTGCATCCATTTCCGTATTGGAGTATTCATAAAGCCTGCACATGATTTGCAACCCAATGAATCGGGACTTGCTTTGCACCCAACAATTATCTTGACCCATAAAATTAAGAAACTCTATAGGTTAAATTATCTTAAGATAATTAAATTATAGATCAATTTTATTTTGATTATTAAAAATAATTATTATTTAATTGATTAAAATATAAAATTAGTTTAAATCAAGTAATTACTCGTTCATTGTTAAATAAATTGTTGACATAATAATTATGTAAATTATATAATAACATATTTGATTTTCATAACGTATATTTTATATTAATTTGATCTTAATTTTAGTTATAAATAATTTATTTTACGTAATATATTGAGTGATTCTAGTTGTAATTATACTTATGACTGTATTAATTGTAATTGTAAATAAAAACAATACATATATGAATAACTATCATAAGAATTAGTCATTATAAAGCACCATAAAACGAAAAATTATAATATACATGTATAAGATCCACAGGTGATAACCATAATAAATTTTAACTGAAAAAACATGCATAGGAAGTTCTCCAACAACATAAGATATGAATAGTACCGTTCTCTCGATACTCAATTTACTTTATTGAATTATATATCAATCTGTGTACATTCTAGGCACAGATAACAAGTCAAACATTAGTGCACATATGCTCAATATCAATTAGGGAATAAGACCAATATTAATACTACAAGAAGGAGTATTGATAAATAATCGATTAAAAGTATTAAATCTATAAATAATTATCTTAAGGAAATTTTAAAAGGAAAACCATAATTTTTAACTTAAAAAATAAAATAAAAATTTTACAAATTCATCTCTTCTCCACCGACATGATCTAAGGAATATCAAATGATTTTAAGAAATAAAATAAAATATTTGTGGATACTTTCGTCTAAGCAATGACAGCGTGGCAGAATATAATCAGTCCAGGTAGACAAAAAGTAATCCACGGCCCAAGCCAATATCACGTGCCATCCGACCACACATCACGTGCTTGCTACTCTTTTCACTTGAAACTTCTAACTGCACCGAACTTGGTTGGTTGGAGATGTGCGAGCTAGGGATGGTAAACGGGCAGGTCGGGTGCCCACCTAATAATTTTCAATCCACCACCCGTCCACCACTCATGATGGGTATAAATTTTCAAATTCACACCCACCCACGCGGGTACATTTTCAAATCCATCCCTACACTCACTACCCACTAGCGACATACCCATCTAGACCCGCCTGACAGCAAACTAATGGGATGTTGGAGTTGGTTCCCAGACAGTTCGTGATGGGGTAGCAACGCATGCTTCAATTTGTCAGAGGAGTGGCTCTACGAATGTTATGGAGACAAATTGTAGGGAGCATGTAGTCGCAGAGCTGGATTGTTGAGTTGCTTTCGATGTTAATGCTCATAGTGCGCCTAATATGGGTTTTGAGGGGCTAAAGAACATGTAAACTTCTGCTTTTGATATTAATGCATATAGTACGACTAATTTTTGTTTGGATGGGCAGCATGGACTAAAGAATATGGAAAGTGATGTGGTTAGTGGGATTATGGGTTTAATCAAAGAGCCAAATATTTCTCTAATTAAAGACCAGATTAAAGACTAAATATCCTTAATATTTGGTTAAATTATATGTTATATATTATACAATATTAAAATTTATAAATTAGTCTCTACAATTACACCTAAATTCATAATGGTCAAAAATTTAATAGATATTTAGCTGGGCAGACGGATGTGGGGCGGGCAGATGCGGGGGCGGGTAATGTCTCAAACCCATTACCCGCCCACCACCCACGATGTGTACCACTTTATAAATCCACACCGCCCACTACCCGCTAAAATTATACACATCCCTACTCCAATTGGAGCAGATACGGTACGGAATCCACGAAACTGGACCCGTTTGCCAACCCTAGTACGAGCTATGATTCGCTGTTGTGGGTCCCATCGGCAACACGGTGAATCTGTGTTCTGCCACGTCTGAAAATAAAACGATTACGCGTGAAATGGGTTCCACATTTTAACATTGCATAATGTAAAAAATAAAAACTCTCAGCGTCTGTTTGAATAATTATTTTAATTTTATAATATGAGATCATAATTTGCTCCGCTATTTAGGCGGGTGCTGCCACCTCGAGGTTGACACTAATTGATGATTTTGCCCATGCCATGTTTATTAGTAAACAATATTACAAAGGACATATTAGTCATGAAATTATAAGGAGGTAACCGTGTCTGATGTCTTCATCAACTTCATGTGTATGTGACAACTAATTCCTAATTGAAAAGGATATATAATTCTAAGTGAGATGACCACTTCTTAAACATTATATATTTATTTTTATATAAAAAAATCAGAATTGTTGTCAATAGCATATCATGTGAGCACCAACTATCATCAAACCATTTGTTTTTCCACATAATTTTGTCAAACTTAAAAGAGTGTTGACTATGAAATAATTAAATGACTTTTGTGTACTATGTGTTTACAAATATCTAATCGGTGATGAAGATTGAAGTGTGGACAATTAGTTACTTAAAATATAAACCCAAATATTTAATTATATTATACTAAACCATCTTATAGACTAATCAAGCTTAGAAGATATATTTAATTTCTTTTAAGTTTTTTTTAATCTGATAATATTCTAGGGTCCTATCAATTGAAATTACGATTAAATTAAGTTTTAATTTTTTTTTTTAATTTTGAATTTATGTAATTTATCACTTTCAATATTTGACATTAACTCCGTCCTTACTCAAATATAAATATATTAAAAATTTATTTTACTTAAAATATCTAAACTTTAAAGGAAATTTGTTATTAATTAAAGTTTTTATTTATAACCATTGTTGAAGTGTCAACGAAATAAAAAAATTAAAGCTAGTTTAGTTTGTAATTAAATCAACGAATCAAAGCATCAGCATCATTTTAGGGCACAAAGCCATGTGAGAGTACACAACTTCAATTTTTTTTGTACACCAAAAACTTTGAACTTGGGCAACAAGATGATTTTTTAGTGAATAAGTTTCCACTACTTTCTTATATATAATAGATATTTGGGTAGGTGAAAATTTAGTTTAATTATTTTTTAAAAAAATAAAAAAAACTTAATTATGCATATATATATATATATATATTGTAATTATAATACACATCATTTCGTTTACATACGCCAAAGAATTGATGCACTATTACAAACACATGCCCCGATACATTTTACTAATTATAAGGTTTTTGTTGAGAAGATATAGACAAAACAAAACAGCTTTTATCTTCTTGTCTTTAAAGGGAAGGAATGGTATGCTTACAAGTCAGTCATCATTGTTTTATAACATATGCTATGTTAACTATTAATTGTACTACTCTCTCTAATGAAACATTTAATTGTACTAAAATGTGCCAACATCAGCAATTAATTGTAATATTTGCACAAAGTTTAAGAATTTAGGTTAATATTTTTAGTGAAATTGGTATTCATATTTGTGTTTGGTTTTTTGTCTTATTTATCATACTTTAATTTTTTGAATTACGATATTGTAATCTAAATTATTTTACTCCTCTCTTATGTATATAGATCATGTCATGTTTAATATCAATCTTAAGTAAGAAAGATACACGTTTATTTAATTTACATTTGCATCCTATGTACATTATTAAAAAAGATAAAACAAAAAACAAAAGAGAATTAAAATATTTTCCAGGCTGATTAATTAAACAACAAACTAGAAATTGCCTCCTGACAATATATTGAGGTAAAAATTTCGGTAAGCTTAACGAATAACGAGTTGAATCGAATCGAGTAATAAGTTTTTTTTAATGAACATGAATCGAATAAAATTTTATCTGGCTTATGGAGTACCGAATCGAGTCAAACAATTTTTGAGTTGAATCAAACATTACTCAACTCACGATCTACTCACTCGATAAAAGGCCCTACACATGGTGGCATGAGTGACTAAAATGTTAGAGTCATACAATTGAAATGACTAAATAAAAATATTTTTTTAATGACCAACATTAACGCCCTAAATATTTACTGATCATTTTAGTAGACGTTCTTAAATGTTAGGAACTACAATTGAAAACTTATAAAGAAAAATAAATAAATCAAAGGGTAAACTACGTATATAGCAATCCAACTATCACTTTAGTTTCGTTTTGTTCATTCAACTATTATAGTTTTTAAAATTATACTTAAAGTTACGTTTTGATTCTATGTTGATCCTTTACTGTAAAAAAATTTAATGGTAATGCTTACGTGTCATCAATGGAAAAAATAAAAAAATTATGTCAGTAGTTCTGTTTTATTTTTTAACGATAAATGATCAAAATAGAACAAAAACGTAATGTTATATATGATTTAAAAAAATATAGTTTAGTGAATAAAATAGAATAAAAGTGATAGTTGAATGACAAAATACTTAATTTACTCTAAATAAAAAGAGAGAAAGGGGAAACGGGGAGAAAGTGGGCTACAACATCAAGACAAGTAAAAGACAGCTAGCAATGAAGGAAGCTCACAAATCACCATTATTACCCCTCTCCTCTCCCTTTTAAGCCTTGCTTTCCTTACTCTTCACCTTCAAAACTTTCCCCATTTCCTCTCTTCTTCAAGGTATTTCTTTCACACTCCATTGCTTCTTCTTCATCTAACTCTCTGCTATTTTGGCTTCAAATTCCACTTCTACTTTCCACTCATCCAACACTAGAAAATTTATGAAGCTTTCTGCTGTAATTTTATTACATGAATGAGTTTCACTCTATATTTCAGCTATCAAAGCAATTTATACACTAAAAATTCAATTTCTTCAACTACTGTTTCAGGTTTCCCGAGAAAATTCTCTTCGTTTTCCTCCAAGTCATCTCTTGTTTCCGGAAAGTTTTGCTCATTGACGGGTGTCTAAGGTTTGCTTCAAAATCACTCTATATCTTCCTTTTGTTCATCAAATTTCGAAATATAGCTTTAAAAAACAGTGATAACTTAGTAAGGGCTACTTTAACTAAGAAATTGAAATGACGAAGTAATGATAATTTCTGTTTTTTTATTTTTTTTGCAGGTTTGTTTAAGTTTTTCGTATAAGTAAATATGGTTGGATCAACAGATTTCATTGATGAGATAGATTGTGGAAGCTTCTTCGACGACCTCATCGACTTCCCTAACGGAGATGTCGAACTCGACTCCTCCGCCGCGTTTCCTAGCATTTGGACAACTCAGCTCGAGTCATTACCTTGTTCCGACCCAGTTTTTTCCAACAACAGTGCTTCCGACCCCTCCGCTGAACTCTTTGTTCCGGTTAGTGTTGTGTTTACTTTTTAAAATATATATTTTTAGTGAAAGCAGTTTTTCTGCTTATTTTTGCTTATTAAAGTTGATTTTTATGTGTGTGAAATTTAGCTAATTTTAAAGGATTTCAATTTCAATTATATATTCTATACCATACAGATTAAATTTTGCAAACTGTTCCATATATTAGTTGGAATATGCAACTAAAATGAGATTTGAATCTGGTGATTTGGTTTTTGCAGTATGAAGATATTGTTCAATTGGAATGGATGTCAAACTTTGTTGAAGATTCTCACAGTGGAGAAAGCTTGACAATTAAGAAAGAAGAGTCATCTTCCATCAGTATGGTAAGACCTAATAGTCCATATGTCTTGTTGTGTCATGGATCATGAGTACTTCGAGTTATATAAATTTTTGCATATTCATGTATTTGTGTTGTGTTTAACCAAAATTTCCAGGCATCCCATCATCAATTCCAGACTTGCAGTCCGATTTCAGTTCTTGAAAGTAGCAGCTCCTACTCAGGAGCGAAACCATTGACGTGCAGTCCTGAGACAGCTGCTCCTGGGAAGCGCAGATGTGCACGCAGCAAATGTCCTCGTCCGGCCATGTTCAATAGTTTTCCAGGAGTTCCACTGATCTCCCCAACTTCATCCGTCAATGAGAGCGACATTCCTCAGCCCTTTGCATTTCCGAATGTGCTGTCGGATTCTGAGAACTATGCCGAGTCCCGGCTTCTGATCAAATTACCGAAACAAGTTAATGCGGAACATAAGAAGAAGAAGAAGAAGATCAAGCTATCACTTTCAGCTCCAGCAGGCATTGCTGATGATAGTCAAAATCCAACTGCACAAGGTGTTGGGAAATGTATGCATTGCGAGATAACAAAGACGCCACAATGGAGGGCAGGGCCAATGGGTCCGAAAACCCTTTGCAATGCTTGCGGAGTCCGATACAAGTCCGGCAGGCTCTTCCCAGAGTACCGGCCTGCTGCGAGTCCGACGTTTGTTCCGTCATTACACTCAAATTCTCACAAGAAAGTACTGGAGATGAGAACCAAAAGTTGTGCACTAGCACCTACCACAACAATGATCGACAACAATTCACCAGAGCTGATTCCCACTAAAAGCAACCCTACATTGGATTATATATGAAGGTCCGAGCCAACACATCCGATCATGGGTATGGTTATATACCTCGAAAGATCATTCAAATACATGAAAAGTGTTGGAAAAATTGAACTTCACCACAACAAACACACACCTTTATTCGATTTATACCCAAGTCTGAGTACCATAGCTTTCCTTATTTTATTTCTTTGATCTTTATTTTTTCCTGCACAGGGTTGAAATAGAGAAAATAGGAGCATTAGATGGCTAATATTTAAATGAGAGAGAGATTGTAGTGAGAACTTTGAGGCAAAAAGGGTAGAGAAAATGGAAGCTTGAGAGTTAGCAAAGTTGTAGGTTTTAGAAACGATTAGGTCCTTGAAATGCCATTAGCCCATTAGTTATTGGGGTCTATGTATCTTTTTGGTGAGAATTCTTAATTTTTGCAGTTCATTTTAGTATAAATCAAAAGAATGAGACGAGTAATGAAATTTGAGAATTTATTTTCTATTGAAAATGTCTTTGATTTGTTCAATCAATCGGTAATCTAAAATCTCCTCCAATGGTTCTGGCAATGCCATCTTACATAAACTAGTTCACTGATATTCCTGTATGGTACCACCTTCTGCATATCTTTGCAATTACTGAGTGTCAATGGAGGATGGAACTCCACAAGATAAGCGGTTCAAAGAGAGGTCAAATTGTCCAAGATTCTGAAGTTTGCCTGTAAGCAAGTGTCCTCTGATACGAACATTCATGAGCCTGAAAAGATTACATACTCCTCCAGGAACATCCATGAGCAATCCCCAAGTTCCATAAGGATGTTACCTTGGAGATTACTCTGGCTTAAGTTCAGAACGAAGCGATCTCAACTGGCAACTGCCCAGTTTCACAGGGGATATTGCCATGCAAGCTGCTATTGGAAAGGTCGGTCACTCTCAAGAAGCTAAAATTCCAGATCGATGGAGCCACCGAGTTTCATGCCTAAAACTGATGACACTTTGATGCTGCCGACTGCATCGAACGCCTTGTCACTTGCACAAATGGAGTGAAGCATTCCATGAAAGTAGACCACCGCCAAGCTGATTCTTCAAAGCCATCAAATCTAGGGTCTGTTTGTTTCCCGTAATTGGAATTACGGAATTGGTTTTCCCCGAATTCCCGTGTTTGTTTCACGTAATTCGTTTTCCGGAAAATGTTTTCCCGTGTTTGTTTCACGTAATTCGTTTTCCGGAAAACGTTTTCCCGTGTTTGTTTCACGTAATTCGTTTTCCGGAATGTAATTCATTTTCCTAGTAACATAATTTCCTTTGTGTTTTCTGTAAAATGACTTACGGATTCATTTTCCGTAAGTCATTTTCCGAACTTTTCACTTCAAAGCAAAAATACTCAAAATAATTTTATTTTATGAATTTAATATTAATAAAATATTTTAATATCATTTTCATCAAAATATTAATTATTAAAATATTTAAAATATATTTATTAATATTTATAATAATATAATATTATATTTTTAATATTATATAAAATAATCAATTATATTATAATAATATAAGATATTATATTTTTATTTTAATAATATATAATAATTTTTTTTATATATTTAATAATAAATAATATTATTTATATATTTCAATAATATTTTAGTAAAGATATTAAAATATACTAATTAATATTTTTAAAATATAATATAGTACTATTACTTTAATAAATAATTAATATAATTTATAAAATTTTATTTCACTAAAATATACCGAAAAAATGTTTAAATAACATCTTCCAAACATCATAAAACGTTTTCCAGATGTTTTCCAGAAATGTAATTCATTTTACAGAAATGTAGTTCATTTTCCAGAATTCAAATTCCAGTAATTCATTTTTCAGTAATTCAAATTCCAGTAATTCAAATTTCAGTAATTCATTTTCTGGAAAACCAATTACAGCTAAACAAACAGACCCCTAGTCTCTGTTCGTTTACCAAGGCCATGCCAAGTTTGAAGGACGTAAAGACGAGGGTGATAACGGCAACAATGTAGAGCAAGAACCCAATATCAACAGTACAATTGATTTCTTCATTATCAGCTAGGAATAAGACAGTTGATTCCATGAGGTAAATTAAGAATGGTTTATTCGAGTTAATAGATTAATTCAGGTTTATTTTATTAATTCTGATTAATAAAATAGACGGTGAGAAAAAATATAAAATCAAAAAGTAAATATTTCAAATACTTAATTAGGTGATTTTTCAAAAAATATCATAATATGATTTATTTAACACCCCCTATAAAATAGAAAACTTATATCTCAATAATATCATTTTTATTTAATTATAATATATTTTTAACTTAAAAAATTATAATATATATTTTTTAATTTACAATAATAACAAGGTAAGAATTTGTTCAAAATCTTTATCAACCATTGACAAATCACATTGTGTAACACAACTGTTTAAAGTCGGATCCTCTAAAGAGAACAATACTCTCTTTTACCACATAAATCACTCAATAGATTCGAATACTCTAACTTTAAAATAATGCTTTCTATTTCTAAATGCTAGCATTTTATAAATCTCCAAAATTGTAATATCGTTCTTCCAAAAACACCTTAAAATATCATATCTTGTATATTTGACCAAATATGTCAAAAAAACACAAATGTAAAACATAAATACAACGAAGAAAAAAACATTTATTAATGTTATAAGTTGTTTACAAGATAGGAAAATAAATCCAACAATAGTCAATCATGAAATTACAAAAGAAAACCACATACCAAATAAAGAAAATCAAAATAGATATGTCAATGGGGTATGACCAGAACATTCTCATTCATAACACTTGGTACCATGAAAATTTTGAGGCTATGACAATGGAGATCTTGTAGTGACTTTGCTACCATTAAAGTTCAGATATTTTGCTTGTACCAAAAAAAAAGTTTACATATTTGCCTGCTCAAACTTTGGGAGATTAAAGCTCAAGGGTTCCTGTAATTCGGGGTTGATCGGGAACAAGTTACACTGTCCATGTTGTGCCATCAGCTGGTCCACGAGAACCATGGCTACCATGGCTTCAACCATCGGCACCGCTGTTTCGTCCAAATCAAAACCAAAGACAACCCGAAACGATAATGAGAAATATTGTTTGGAAGTGAAGGATATGAAGATAAGAGATAAATGGTTGAAGATGAAATTATCATAGTTCTATCTGTCTTTGAAGAAGGGCAACCACAAAGGATCACAGATAGAGAGATGGTGGAAAGAATTAAGAAAAGGGGCGATATAAACTCATTTGAGAAAGATGACAACGAAGCAAAGGAAAATTATCATCCAAAGAAATACCTCGAGGGACAACACAAGGATCATGACGACCACGAGCTAACAGTTCGATCTCTTGTTTCTCTCGAGTCACAGTCTGCTGCTTCTTCTGCAGAAAGTATCACAAATTGACACCAATTTTAACCGAATATGCCAAAACTTCGTGAATATGCCAACATAGTTATTAAAACAGAACTATTTAATTAAGAGTTTATTATGACCTTAACATTAATTATCTTCCGTTTTCTTTTCCAATGAAAACTATGAATGTTAACAAAATTTGATTAAATTGATATTAACATTTCTAATAAAAAATATATTTTTAAAATGTTTATTTTGGTAAAAGAATTTGTTCCCGAAGTGCCGGAAAATTTATCATAAAATATTAAATGATGTGATGATATATAAATCAAATCATAATAGCCACAGAGCATAGGAAACAAATAAGAAGGCAAAAAGAGATCAAACTTACACTGATAGTAGCTGTTGGCTTGAAAGCTACTCTCATGTTTATAATTTCCCCATTGGATATTCCACCCTGTAGGAGAACATTATAAGTAATATCATAATTCTCAGGTTGAACACATGAACTTAGCCCCAATGTTACTCGGATTCAGATGAAGGTATCAGATATAAATACGAGTCCAACATGAGTATATTCAATATTTTAAAGTTTTTCCATGCATTTGGAGGGTCATATCTTCATATATATATATATATATATATATCATAATATGATTTGGGCATGGATACTTAAAGAAAAACACAAAGTTTACCCAACAATCAAGAACTTGGGGACTACAAATAAACCAGCTAGTATGTGGTGCATTGGAGACAAAAGCCACTCGCAGAGCTAAGTTATCTAGACTCTTCATTCCTGAAAATACTCATACCCAACACGTGTTTCCGACACATTTGGACATGGATATTGCACAATGTTCAAATATATTAAAAGAATTTTCAAAAAATTGAAAATAACCATATCAGACATATTATGTACCCGTATCCATCTCTCACTTGATTCTGAATAACATATAAGTATTGCTAGGCAGACAGACACAGAGTAACAGAAAAATAACTACCTGTATCCCACCAGAGCGGTTTGTTCTAGTCCTTATTCTTCCATGTTCATCAGTATAGAACTCATCATTATGTTCACTGCCAGTTAGAAAAGTACCTGCAAGGATTTTACTAAGAACAACTTGCAACACAACCAAAAACAAATCTCGCAAGTAATAGCATTAGTGTATGTTCTACCCACTGGAAAAATCAATTCAGGATAACTTTATGAAATGCAACAGTAGCACCAAAATAAAATTCTCTTAACCTGAAAATCCACTGCCAAATTCAAATCCTTTGGTCGCAGGTAAGGACATTACAGCCTTAGCAAGCTCTGCCTCAAGCTTATCAAAAACTGGTGAACCAAGCCCCTGACACAAAAATATAGACTTTCAATACCATAGAAAGCTTCTATTTGACTTTGGCTTATACAAGTTAAAGCATTTCTGTCATTTTAAGGTCAAAAGCAACCAAAATTTTCAAAATAAATAAATGAAACAACACAGGCAATGCACATGAAACACAAGTGTGAGAGAGAGAAACAGAGAGGGTTCATACACGTGGGGCATTCCTCACTATGCACGTGACAACACCACCAATAGAATCTCCTCTTGTCCGAACGGCATCAATAGCAGCTATCATTTTCTCAGCATATTCAGGATTTGGGCACCTTACAATATTACTCTCTATCTGGCAATATTTAGTTGAAAATAGTTAAATAATGGCTACAATAAATTGGTCTGTAATCGAAGGGGAATCAATAATCTAGAGGAGTACAAGAGCGAAAGTAGATGAAATGCATGATATATATATATCATACAAGGAATGCTTTTTCAGAACTACCAAAACAAATCAGAGGAAATTGGGGGGGGGGGGAATAAACTTCAGTTAACCTGGTCAAGAGTTACAGTGTCATGGTCAACTGAACCATCTGGAAGCACAACCTGATGAACTTGTGAGACATAGGCAAGAACCTGAAGAAAAAGTGACCATTAGGATGAAACCGGAAAAAGATAACAGACAAATATGATTCAATAATAGAAGTAGAGTCTGCACTTGTATGAACTGAATCCTGAAAATGTAGTTAAAGCTATGCTATAGTGATTCTAAGCACTAATTTACGCAAGGCAGATGTTTGCAACATGGAATACAGAGGTCAGGGTCTGAGTTTTCTTTTATTATTATTATTGTACTTTTTCCTCGTTTAGTTTATGACTTGTTAGTAAAGTCAGGCATGAATCAATTTGCAAGTGCAAACAACTTAATCAAATATACTGCACTAGTTCACTGAGTACAAGTATTATCATTGATTCAGTGAATAGATGCAGCAAATTATAATCACAAGGAACAAGAAGAAAAATAGAGATCAATCTCACCAGCTTGAAACATACCTCAGTTCGCGAGAACTGCTTCAGAATTTTCTTAGCAATAGCTCCAGGGGCCACTCTTCCAATGGTTTCTCTGGCAGAAGATCTACCACCACCCTTCAGTTACAAGTCGGAATCAGATAAATTGGTCCAAACAAATCTGCACCTCTTAAAAAGTCGGCTGAATCCTCAATACTATGATGATACCAAAAGGCTTTACCTGCACTGCTCTGACACCATATTTCATGTCATAAGTGGCATCAGCATGAGAAGGCCTATAAGCTATTGACATTTCCTTGTAATCCTGAAAGCAAAATGACATCATTAAAGAATCCTTATAGACGCCAAAATAACAAACAATTAAGTCAAAATCGATAACGTCCCTAACATACAAATATCCTTAAATTAGCTCACATGTCAAAGTCATGGTCCTAAACTGAAATTGTTTACTACAATTCACTCAAAGTAGTAAACCTGACTGGCTCTAAATGATGACTACCGTTTATATAGTTACATCATCGGATTAATTAATAAGGTCTCATTCACTGTCCGGAAGCACTATCAGCTCAAGAATTGCTCAATGAGCCTTGAGAATGCAAAATAGATTAATTTCTAAAGATAATTCAAAATAGACTGCAACCATTAAAATTATATACCACGCTATAAAAATCAAACAAAGGATTGTTCAACTTTGGTTTACTTTTCCCATTTTAGAACCCCAATAACATATAAGTAGATGCTTACATGTCCTCGCTGATCAGTATTTGGAACAAAAACATGGATTGGTGTTCCAGTAGTCACTCCTGCAGATTGTCATGAAATGTACATCTAAATAACAAGAAATCAGATACAAAACAGCAACAGTGATGGCCAAAGATAACATTAAAAATTTGGAAGATCCAGGGTTAAAAGAACATATATATTTGACCTTCAGAAACTCCAGAAAATATTTGACAAGTGTCAGTCTCTTTCCTAGGGGTAGTAATTCGGCTCTGACCTGGCCTCCTGAAAACAACTATTGACTGTTAATCAAAAATGATGAAGAAATTTGCATCAAAAGAGGCAAAATGCTATAAAAGGAAGTTATGCATTTGTGTTCTATCATTCATAGGAAAACCCTGTTTCCATAACTACCACTTGATGGATATGTAATAAAAATGTAGCAGACAAGGATGTACAAATCTTTATCTAAAGGCAAGTATTATAATTCAAGCGATAATGCTAGGTTTCCATAATCAAGTACCTTCGGTCAAGATCAACTTGCAAATCAGCTTCTGAGAGAGGAATCCTAGGAGGGCATCCATCAACTATACAACCAACACCACCTCCATGAGACTCTCCAAATGTTGTAACACGGAAATAATTTCCAAATGTGCTTCCAGCTGCCTGTATCTCTGTTAGGCAACACATTTTGTCAGACTTCATAAGCTCGACTTAATCCCAATGTTCTTTTTGTAAAAATTCTTTCTCATAATATTAAAATATTCAGAAAGACACAATCACAATCTACAATGTCTAGTACAATTTAAGCTTCTATCAGAGCCTTAAAAGAACCACATCCTAAATTATTGGTTTTCAATGGTAGCAAACTGGTATGTCCTACGCGTCACACAAAGTCAATGCAAGCACAGAAAATTTTCACAGTTTAAGAGGAAGTCACCCAGTTATGTTCACACAATGGAGATATATCTGATGCTATTTAGAGACACCCAAAGATGTTTGTGGACCTAATGGCAACATGTTACTATCAATTTTAATGATGAAAACTCTAAAATTAAATCAATTCACTGCCATGTAATATTATAGATTCCTGTATGTCTCTTAGCCTATAGTGTTTATTTGATCTTAAAAATCTCATTGATTAGGACAGTATATTCCTATATCAAAACACATGAACATAAGCTCTATAGCTATTACAACTCTACAAGCGTCTGAACCTAATATCAACTTTAGCCGTTATGTCAGATAAACAGATCAATGCTGACACAAAATATTGCATAAAGTCGACCATTTGTGACCGTTATCTGTAAATAAGACTATAAAAGTACATCATTGTAAAATTATACACAAATTCATGATGATTGTCTTTTAGCATGATGACCATAAAGTTTTTCTAACAAAATATAAAATGACACCAAACATTATATAAACCCGATGGCAATGCTCTATCAGTGATTGCTCAAAAGTCAAAACCGTATTTAACTTGAGTCCTATGTTCAAAATACACAGAAAAATTGAAGTTTATGATTGCTAAGAAAATTCAAATTTAAATTCAACATCAGAATAAAAATTTCTATTTACAATCCTCACATCGCAATAAACTACTAAATTCAAAAGAGAAAACTAAAAAAAATCCAATATGGCCACAAAGACAAACAAAATTAAAAGCAATAAAAAACCAAAGTCAAAATCAAACCTTTAACCAAAAAATGTAATTTTTTTTTTAAATACAGAAACCAAATTGAATTGAAACTGAAAGAAGAAAACCTACGAAGCTTTTTGAGGGTTGTCGGTTTGATTGAGATATGAGTAGGGGCAAACGAGGGTCTTTGAAGATCAGAAGAAAGAGAAGAATTGGGTTTAGTAGCTCCAAGGAAAGGCTTGGATATAATGGAAGAAGCCATAACAGCTTTAAAAATTAAATTGAAAAGAGAAAAGAAACAAAAATGAAAATAGAGATTGAAAGAAATAAAGAAGATATTTGAGCTAATAAAAATGGAAGATTTGGTAGGAATGGAAGGTGGCTGTTCGAAAGGGAGGGAAGAGTGGGGTTGGTAGGTTTTGCTTGTTGGGTTATTGTGCTCAACTACCCTCGATATTTCTTTTAACAACTTTTTTTTTTTTGAAATAGTTCTTTTAACAACTTTAATAAGGTAAACTACACATATAGTCCCTAATTATAACAAATCATAAAATATCACTTAACTAATTATAAGTTCAAAATATATATAATTTATAAATTTATTATTCATTTCTTTTCATTAGAAAATAGGTTATCGCCTAAATTAGATATTAGTTTGATTATTAGGATTGGATGAAGTTGTTTTTTTTATTACACCTAACCGTTGGTTTAAATTTCATAACTGTGAGTACATATGTATAATATATAATAGTATCATGAATTATGAAATAAAATCAAATGATTAATTATGTTATATGTGTTATAGGTATTAAAGTGTTGTGCAATTAAATTATAGATATCATAAGTTGTATTTATAATTTAATAAATGACATAATTATAAATACTTAATAGATTAACCTAATATTCAATATATATAAAGAGGTAGTGATACCAATAAATATGTTAACTTTTATTACTCTTACATGTTGGAGAGTCATAAAACCTATCTTCCTGAAATATCACAATCAATAAAGATTCAAAGATTTCAACCTATTAATTAATTCAAGTATGTTTCCACATCTAGTATTTTATTATTGATAATTTAACATGATTAGATCTGATTAATTTTAGTATTCATTATGATTTAGTTCTAACACTAACATCCAAGTCATGTTTAAGCAAAAATAATAATAAAAATAAATAAATTTACCTTCAATTTCTAAAAGCCTCAATTTTTATCTTCTTCCTCCTCAAAGAAAAGCTACCGAAGCATTTAAAGAAATAAAGAACCACAAGAAGGAAATAAAAAAGAAAACCGGAGGATGAAAACATAAAGAATTTTTTTTTGAAATATGATTATAGAGTCGCCACTCGTATCATAACAACATTATCTAACGAATAACTTATAAAATAGGGATGTGGTGAAAGAGAATTTAACCTATTTATTTAAACACACGAACCCCCTAGTGAGTCTCGGGTTAACACGTAACATCATTTTGGCCTCATGCTGATGCCCCCAAAATAATATCGTTTTGGACATGTATTTAAATGTAATTTCCCATTATTTCTTTCATTTTCTTTCTTTATTCATAGGACGATCATGTCTGTTGTGTAGGTTGTCCACCGATCGATGTACACCATTGTCGGACACAATATTCGTTTTTGTTGTTGTAGCCAAGGTCGGATCCATCCAAAAACAAGGTTGATCAATAAATAATGCGGGGATATAATTTATAAAAAAGATGGAAGGACAAAACAATCAAACAAAAGAGGATAACTAAAACCACTCCCTCCATTTCCTCGACTATTAGTTTTAAACATTTAATTTATTTATTTTCTTTGAATTATCCGCCACCGAAAAAATTGCAGCCAATTTTATAAACTGTTCGATGCAGTCATGAAGTCGACCGAAGTAAGACAAATTGTAGTCACTATTGAAGTAGTGGCTACTGAGTCTGAGTCTGAAACATGGGCTATATTCGAGATGGGTTTTTCACCATACATCGTGCTGGCAGCTACATCATCAGCTAAAGCAACTTCAGATTGTTCGTCCAAACCACGTAAAGTAGTACACCATTTACGTTTCTACCGAGTCATAAACCAAAACCTGAGGCCTATTCAAGACAGTTGAGGAAGAGTAGAGATCAGCAGATTGACAGAAGTGATAAGCAATGTCACTACGGCTATTCATTTTCTGCTCAGGTGCTACACATATACGGACATTTTCACAGCTTCACACCTCTCAACCCTCCTTTTTGTTATCCTCTTCCCTTCTGTTTTTAAATGATATCAATCTTTCTAACCCCCCTTACCCATCCCCATTCCTCACACCACGGTTCCCCCTTCCCTTTTCCCGATCTCTTGTGTATGAGACAGCGGCGGGAGATCCAAAGAATTCGAAAGTGGGCGAGAAGAATGGAAGTGAGGGATGGAGGACATTTAGAGATCAAGAAAAGGAAAAATGTAACCTCAACCAACATCCAAAAAAGGAATAGGAGAACTGAAACTGACACCAACGAAAACTGCATTCTCAACCAACATCAGTAAATGAGACCATTTTGAATCTGATTGTAGAGAATCGGAAAGACACAGGTTACAAAATTCTTGTTTTGCGGCTGAATGTATTTATTTATACATTGAGTACATGTGCATAATTTGATTCCCTCTCTATCCCACTTGCAGTTAACTAGGTAGGATATTGGTCATCTTGCCATTTCTCCACTCTGCAGCTTAGTCAAGTTTTTTCCAAGAATTCCCCCAACAAGAGCCTAAAGGGTATGATTCATAACTCTGTTTAACCTAGGCATGCTTCATATTTCCAGTATCAACTGCTAACAAGGGTTTCACATGATGACCCTTGTTCCTTTTCCGACCTCCAAACCTCCTCCCTCCCTCCCATCTACAGTCTTCTCACAGGCCATCAAACTCTCTGAAACCCACTCCTCCCACACCAACAATAGATAAGTAAACTAAGCCACTAAGGCAATAGCAACAACAGACGAAAGAAGTTAAAGGAAAGGGAAACACCAGGATCATTAGAAAAGAAATAGATGAACTGGCACTTTAAAATTGCATTCTCAAGCAAGCAAAGATCCAATAATGAGGCCATTTTGAATCTTATTGTAGAAGAAAGGACATATGACCAACACCAAAAGTGTTTGTTTCATCGCTTAACGTATATGTAAAAAAAATTGTAGTCAATATTCCGCTACCATTTATAATCCGATTCCCCATTGCCCTATTAACAGTTAACTAAGGAAAGTGTATCAGTTCTTTATCAAATTAGAGTTACATAGATGTGATATGTAGTATGAATGAAACAAATGTCTAACATGCCTGTAAAACAAAGCTAACAGAAGCATACCTTTTGCTCTCTCGATGCTGGAATTCTTGGATCATCTCATCAACCACACAGAAAATCTAAGCATGTTGGAAACCTGTATCCAATACTAAGTGCAAGGTGTCTCAAGTCGTCCTCAAATATTAGGGGAAACATTAATACTTGATAGCAGTGACCTAGGTTAAATTCATCTTTAGCTATTACATGTTAACTAAACATACCAATTGCATATAGTTTTTTAGAATCAAAACAATTCATCTTCTACATCAATACATATATGTGCGATAAAGGTAGAAAGTATACAAAACCGATATAGAGTTTCATCAAATTTGCTCATTACATCCATAATAAAGGGAATAAACCAATATCTCAAAGCAGAAATTAGGCGCTATTGCTTGGGCTGGGCCTGCAGCCATCCTTGGATGGATCGCTGTCGTTGGATGGATGTTAATGATGATCGTGACAGTCATCGTCGCTGTCGTCTTCATCAAAGGGCTTTTCTTTGTGGTAAATACAACAGATCTTGGAGCTCTTCTTGTTCATGAATTCGTTGTCAATGGTTCCTTCTTTCCACGTAACTTTCTTTTTCCTCGGACGGAGTTCGAGGACGAGGGCTTCTTGAGGTCGCGAGGAGGAAGAAGCGGAGGCCGAGCTGTTTTCGATCGTCAGGGTGGTGGTGACGGAGGATGTCGACGGTGATGCCCTGCTTGATGCGCTCGTTGCCATCGGTCGAGCCATTGCTAGAGAGATTACCGCCGTTGATATTTATTTTTATTTTATGAAATCGGCTTTAAATATCAGCTGCGATACTGCATTTGTTAATTTATTTTATCCACACGTGCGTACAACACGAGCGCAATATATGAGTCTGTCAAAATTTGCAGCTTATATATTAAAATCATATATTAATTAATTTCCATCGATGTTTTTTTTTTCTCATTCGAAAATTTGACCTGTCAAAGTGTCAATACACATGACTATGAAATATTTTGTAATTCCAGCCATCATTACTTACTATTCAAAATGTTATTTATTCGGATTTAATCATAAAAAATGTATATTTAATACAAATATTTTTATTTTAATGGTAAATAAAAAGTTAGAGTATATATACGACTGTGATCCATCCCATGGATAGATATAGATGTGTTATCTGATAACTCCGAATGATGAGTATAGTTTTAATAACCATTTTATGTTTGACTTGTAAAATTTATTTTACTTTTTACAAACATCGAATTCATATATTCATAATTAAAATTGTTTCATTTGGACATGAATAGTTCGAATATCTAAATATGTTATTTGTATTAATGTATAATTTATTATGAACAGCAACAAACAAATTCAGATTCAAAATTATATAACTTAGATATCAAACTTGATGCTATCCCTTACAAGAGAGGAAGAAGAAGTTCTTTGGTTCATATTTGTAGGTAATCTTTTTAAAAATACCAAGAAAACTAGGATTGCATTACACCCACATGCAAATATTTACAGGTATTGAAACTAGGCGCATGAATACATCTTAAACTATGTTTATTCCCATTGCAAAGGCTAACTACATCGGATTCGAGCACTGAAGTAATGGAGCTCACATCTCAGCAACCAGTTTATCCGAATCAACGGCATCAGATAGCGTACCCTTGATCCACCTTTTCAGCATCTCCAATGCTGCCTTGGGTTGGTCCATGGGAACCATATGACCCGCATCATGAACCTGTTCGATTATCACATAGTTATATCAGCCCCGTTGTGAAATTAATCGATATAACTATATATTAAAAATATGGATATGGTCGGTGGAGTGGTGACCTTGAGGAAACCGAGAGGTCCATGAGTTTTCAGGACTCCGGCCTCTGAGCCGTCAACTATAAAAGGAACCTCAGGAGATGCTACAAACTCCTTCTGACCAGACCATTGCATTGCGTGAACCCATCTTGAATTGCCTGTTAAAGTACAATAAATTGTGAAGATATAAATGACAAAGTAATTAGCCGGATAATTGATCCTCTCTTCATTTTTCTAGAAATAACTATATCCAACACAATTGTTGAATGTATAACGGGTAAGGGTAGGAGGATACGACCCTTCAAACAAATGAGCAAATAGAGAAAGAACATAACATTCATGGGTTGCACACATGCTCATATCCGATACTTGCAATCGGATCCAATAAAATGGATATGCTCCTATCCCTAGAATATGAAACAGAAAATACTAACCAAGCCAGTTGCAGATGAGATCATATTCCCCAGCATATACAAGAAGCTTGATTCCATCCTCAAGGAGAGCAGGAATACCAGCTTCCAGATTCCTCATCCAGTCGACCAGCATTGCCTGATAGACTGTAGGGCTGCAGGACACAAAATCTACATTCCCAACACCAAGGGAATCCCTAACAGATTTCTTGTTCAGAAATGTCTCCATTTTCGAGAAGTCATAGCAAAGGCTCCCTTCACATTTCTTTCTAACATCATAGTACTGCAGACAGGAAAGACCAGAGCATGATTACTCTTCTCAACAACTTATTTGCAACAAAGAGCTTCGTTATAGATACATTGTTTAACGAGAAAAAATATCGAGGAACCCTTTGCATATAAATTCGGAAAAAAAGAATACCAATGACATAAAGGTCATTTATCAGGTCCTACTCTACCATTAATAAACTGTTCTATTTACTCTTTCTTTAGACATTGATTATACAAACATTTCCCTAGACCTCTTATACAAAAGATAGTTCAACACTGCAAGAAAAAGAAGCCTGTTCTACTTTACAAGATATTGAGCAAAAATCATAAAAACGAAAAATAAAAACAAAAGAAGACTAACCACAAGCCCTTTATGCAAATAATTCAAAGTATGCTTCTAAGCATTAAAAGATGACTTTAATGCTTGAGCAAAGCAAATAACTGAATAAATAAAAAATGACTAGCAATTGTTCCGTGCCTCTCACAGAACAAGACACCATATCAAATTAAAAGAAAAAATCATGTCCCTTACATTAGTATCACCAGCAAGTTTCATGATGCCATTGAATATTGTATTGCAGACAAAATATGAAGCCATGCAAGAGATTGTACCATCAGTGCCTGAAAATTTGTATTTCCAAAAAAAGTGGAGATAAGCAGAGCAATGATTCAATCTGTGATATACCTTAATAAGGTAAGATGAAAAACTGAAGCAAAAAGAATAGCATTAACCACTATATTCAGGCTTTGAAGTTTGAAACAGTAGACCTAAAATATAGTGAATGCTCTTAGGAAAAAGGAAGCCTTTTCGGATGCAAAATTACCACAAAGCTTTATTGCCATCTCACAAATGGGAACCATCCTGTTGATACGATCATGGTCAGACTTCTTAATTACCCCCATGTCCAAAGCATAATCTGTGTAAGCTTTATACTGGATTCCAGGGTCAGTCAGGCCATTACCAATAGCAAATCCCTGTTAAAAACATTGTCATTGAAGCAAGCAAAAGGAATTAGATCCTGACAAATTGTAACTGTGAGAAATTAAAAAATAACAAGAAGAAGCTTTTACGCCACATAGTTAGTAATGCACCTTTAGGTTTATATGAATTCCTTCCTTGGCTTTGTTTCCTCGGTGAACTCGACCAGCAAAAGCTGGAATGTAGTGCCCAGCGTATGATTCTCCAGTTATAAAAAAGTCATTCTTTGCAAACTCAGGGTGCTCCGCAAAGAATGCCTAGCATAATAAAAGGAAAAAACCCAGTCAGAACAACTTATTTCTCCTTAACAACATCGTATAGACTATAAATAATTCAGTATTGAAATAAATATACGAAAACCATCTTCCAAGACAAACAGATACCTGTAAGAAATCATATAGGTCATTGCTAACTTCATCTTCATTATGACGAATGTCTTTTTGGTCAGAACTGTAACTAAAGCCTGTACCAATAGGTTGGTCCACATAAAGAAGGTTTGATGCCTACAAAGAAATAGAGAAAGGGAGAAATACGGGGAAAAAGTTCATCACTCATCAGTAGTCAGTATCCCAAAAGTTAAAACTTTTAAATATTACATTAGTATAAGAAAGATAGAAATTAAACATTAATTGTGCAAATACCAAATACTAAAGAAGGAAAAATAAGAAGAAGAAAAATACATTGTCCCAACCATACTGGTTCCAAACAAGAGACATGTTATCAGCAATGGTGAAGGGGCCATTTTCATAAAACACAGCCAATTCGCTGCTACAACCTGGTCCTCCAGTTAACCAGATCACAACAGGGTCCTTTTTGCTATTGCGTGATTCAAAGAAGAAGTAGAACATTCTGCCAAAAACAGCAAGACGTTAATCCACTACAAAGGTATTTCATTAATGATAAGGCTGGGAAGATGAATCTAAAGATTTTGATTTGGACTTCATTTTCCAAAAAAATTGCGAGAAAGATTCACACAATACGTATAAATTAGTTGAGATTTAAAATGATTACATATTTGAAAGGCATAAAAAAACTTGAATTTCAAATTGCCATATATCTATAAGAATTTCAAATTCACCGCTGATAAGAATCCAAAAACTCCCAGAATTAGAGAAATAATCATGGATGTTATGTTTATATGTGTTTTACCAAAGACTGTACACTATCTTTAAAGTCCAGGTCCATCTTTTGAAATCAAAGTTCACAAATGCTACTTAATATATCCTTTTCCGTTCATCCAGCAAAATAATAGAAAACCCAATAAAAAGGAAGCCATTGACTGTATAAACTGATGATGGAACATTAAATAAGGAATGATTGTATAGTTTTAAAGTTTAACTAATCTAGCAGCATCAGAAGGGAGCTGAAATCTGGAAAACATGCTATTGAGAAAGTTATTTTTAAATTATAAACCATTGTGATTATGCAATTCATCGGGTTTAACCATTAAATCCCTACAAATTCATATAAAACAGTCGATTAATCGCATCGTTCACTAATTAAGATACAAAAATAACTATAACTCAATGGCTTTCAAACCCCAGCACAAATGAAACAAAGAAACTGAAAAAAAGTCCCAGTTTAAAGAAGTGGTATTTCTTTTATTATTATTTACCTGGCATCATGAGAATTAGCAAGCTTGTAATAGCCGGCATGGTGACCCAAATCCTCAACGGAGACCCCACCAGGCAATTCCAAATTCAAGAAATTGAATCTCTTCTCCACCAGTTTCGGACCCTCCGACAACGAAACCCGGTGTTCATCAACGACGTTGATTTCCTCTTTAGGAAACAAATTCAACTCCCTAATCATCTGCTTTGCTTGCACGGACGGAAAATTCGACCCGGCGAGAAGTAGCTCGTCTACGACGGAGGAATCGGCGGCGGAGAAGGAAATGAGAGAGAGAAGGAAAAAGGAAAGTACACATAAAAGTTCGGATTTTGCCATTTTTCCCCCAGGGAGAGAGAAGTGAGGGGAAAGCAGATGAGAAATGAACATATATAGCATAGAGAGAGGCTAACTGACAGTCTGACGTGACGAGGAATGGTAGTTTTGATTATATATATATATATATATATATATATATATTATATCATATATTTGATATAATAACGTAATTAGGATTGAGTATTATAAAATTCTAATTGAGTTATTCGAGCTTTTACTTAAATTTAATTATACATATTTATAATATCATATTATTATTTAATATTAATATAAATATTTTTTTATAACTATATACAATATATATATATATTTATAATTTTTTATATTTTTCATATGTATATCATGAGTTGAGAATTCAACTCAAACTTAAATATTAATTTATTAAT